ATTTGCAAGGACATTGGCAAATATAATGTAAGTTGGAATTTTGATTAACAAAATTGACCCCAGATTTGCAGGAACCTAATTCTGTATTTCTCCTAGGAGCAATAATTCAGTGTGGTGTTTGTGGTATTTGTGGTGACTTTATAGAGCATAACTACTGTGAGTAAAGTCAGTTGACTGTATCAGGTATCATGTATATAGACCTATTTCTCTTTTGTTCATTCTGTAAATTAATGCCGTACTATCACAAATATTGTTTCCTTCCTTCCTCCCTCCCTCCCTTCCTCTTCCTCCTCCTCTTCCTTCTCCTCCACCATCACCACCACCACCACCTCCACCCTCCGCCTCCACCACCACCACTTCCTACTCTTCTCCTCCTCCTTCTCTCTTCTCTTTATAAGTTGTTTATTCTTGGCCCTTTGCCTAGAATTTTATGATCATATCAAATTTAATGATGAAACATGTTGGATTTTGATTGAAATTGTACTGATTGAAATTATCTAGAATAATTCCTAGATTAATTTGATAGAGATGCCATCTCTTTTTTAAGTTTTTATTTTAATTCCAGTTAACGTATGGTGTTATATTAGTTTCAGGTGTAGAATATAGTGATTCAGCAGTTCCATACATCACTTTATGCTCATCTCAACAAATACAGTCCTTAATCCCCATCACCTATTTCACCCATCCCCCCATCCACTTGCCCTCTGGTAACCATCAGTTTGTTCTCTGTTAAGAGTCTGTTTCTTGAGTTGTCTCTCTCTTTCTTACTTTCCCCACCCCCGTTGCTTGTTTGTTTTGTTTCTTAAATTTCACATATGAGTGAAATCATGGTATTTGTCCTTCCCTGACTGACTTATTTCACTAAACATTATGCTCTCTGGCTCCATTCGTGTCATTGCAAATAGCGAGATTTCATTCTTTTTTACAGATATGTAATATTCTATTATATATGCATACCACATCTTCTTTATTCATTCATTAGTCAGTAGAAATGCCATTCTAACAGTAATGTGTTCTCCCACGGATGAACATAGTGTGTATCTCCATTTATTTAGGTTGTCTTAAATTTCTTTCCATAAAATTGAGAATGTTTTGGTATCTTTTATTAGACTTATCTTATAAGTCGAATTATCTTAAAATTTTTATAGATATATGGTAAATTCCCTTAATTATCATTTCTTTTTGTTCTAGTGAATAAGAATGCAATTGATTTTGGGGCTTTTATTAGTTCTAATAATTTGTAGATTTTTAAAGATTATCTATGTGGACCATTAAATTATCTGGGAATAGTGATGATTTTGTCTCTGTTTTTCACACAAAGATTTTCTATGTGGGCCATTAAATTATCTGGGAATAATGATGATTTTGTTTGTTTTTTACACACTCTCTTGTCTTTGCTGGCTAGTCTCAACTATAATACATAATAATAGCAGTGATGAAAAGCCTTCTTGTCTTGTTCCTAACACTTTTCATGTGTCACCATTAGATACAATGTTTAGTAGTTTTGTAGTTACCTTTTGTCAGATTGAGGAGATTCTTTTTTATTGCAAGCCTACCAGGATTTTTTATTATGATTGAGTTTTTAATTTTATTAAGTGCTTTTCTTGCATCTCTGTAGATGATGGTATACAATCCACATATCTTTGCATTATTGGGAAAAACCCAATCTTGTCATTATTCACTTAAAAAAATATTGCTTGATGTGGTTTACTGATTTAAACATTTTTTTCCCCATTATACTTGCAAGAGTTTGGTCTTATAAGATAGTCTTTTTTTTTTTTTTTTTTTTTTTTTTTTAAGTTTATCTTTATGTATTTTCAGAAGGAGTCAGAATCCCAGGCAGGCTCCGCGCTGTTAGTGCAGAGCCTGATGTGGGGCTTGAACTCAAGAACTGTGAGATCACGACCTGAGCCAAAGTAAAGAGTCAGATGCTTAACCTACTGAGCCACCCAGGTGCCCCATCTTAGAAGATAGTCTTATACATTTTTAAAATCATGTTGTTTTCATATTGGTAACAGGTTGTATTAGCATCATAGAATTATTTGTGTATCTTTTATCTTTTTGCTATTTTCTAAAATTTATGTCAGGAGTTGGAGATTATCTGTTTCTTAAAAAAATTGTTTTAGGCAGCTTTATTTAGATATATTTTACCTACAGTACAATTCACCTATTTAAAAAGTACTATTCAGTTAGTGGTTCTTAGTATATTCAACAGAGTTGTGCCACTGTCACCATAATAATTTTAGAAAATTTTCATCATTCTAAAAAGAAACCCTCATTATTCATTAACAATTACCACGCATTTTCCCCAACCCTACATTCCCTAGGCAACCACTAATCTACTTTCTGTTTTATGGATTTACCTGTTTTGGACATTTCATATACATGGAATTCAATGTGGTCTTTTGTGACTTGCTTCTTTTACTTAGCATAATGTTTTCAAGGTTCATCTACATTCTAGAATGTATCAATACCATTTTTTTTTATTGCCGAGTAATATTCCATTCTGAGGATATCCACTTTTATTGGTCCATTCATCAGTTAATGGTTATTTGGTGCTATTATGAATAATACTGCTATGAACATTTGTGTATAAAATTTTGTGTGGACATATTTCATTTTTCTTGAGTGTATGCCTGTGAGTGGAATTGCTGGGCCTTGTGGTAACTCTGTGTTTAATTGTTTAAGGAACTACTAGATTGTTTACCAAAGCAGCTTCAGCATTATGCATTCCTATTAGCAGTATATTTGGGTTCCAATTTCTCCTTATCTTTACTAACACTTGTTATCTGTCTTTTTGATTATAGTAATCCTTGTGGGTATGAACTGGTATCTCATTGTAGTTTTGATTTACATTTCCCTGATGGCTAATGATGTTGAGCATATTTTTATTTGTTTATTGGCCATTTGTTTATCTTCTTTGGAGAACTGTCCAGATCCTTTGCCCATTTTTAATTGTATTAAATTTTATTATTGAGTTTTAAGAGCTCTTTATGTATTATGAATACTTACTTATCAGAAATATGATTTGTAAACATTTTCCACTATTCTGTGGGTTGTGGTTTGTCTTTTCACTTTTTTGAATGTCGTTTGAAGCACAAAAGTTCATTTTAATGAAGCTTAATTTATCTGTTTTTTCCTTTTGTTACTTGTGCTTTTGGTATCATATCTATTGCTTAATCCAGGATTACAAAGACCTATGCCTATTTTCTTCTAAGGGTTTTATAGTTTTAGCTCTTATATTTAAGTCTTTGATAGATTTTGAGTTAATTTTACATATGGTGTGAGGTAGTGGTCCAACTTCATTCTTATTTATGTGAATGTTTTTTAAAGTTTTGATAGAACTCACCTTTTAAACTACCTGGGCCTGATGTTTTATTTTTGAAGGAGGTGTAATTTAAAACTGATTTCACTTTCTTTAAAGCTTATAGTCGTAGAATTTTTATTCCTTTTTGAGAGGGATTGTCAAGTTATATATTTCTAAGAAATCTTTTGTTGTCTTTTAAGTATATAATAAAAAAATTGTCTTTGCCTGTTTATTTCTATTATTTATTTGTGTTTGTTGTTTCTTACTCTTGATTAGTCTTATCAGAGGACTGTCAGTTTTACTATTTTTTTAAGAACAAGCATTTGGTTTTGTTGTTACTTCTTTTTCCCCCTTGTAGTCCATTTTGTTCTTTTTTCCTTATTACTATCTTCTTTCAATTTAGTTTGGATTTTCTCCCTTAGACACTTAGATTTTGACTTTTTACAAAAACATGCATTTAATGCTGGGGATTTCCTTCTAAGTACTGCTATAGTTGTATTCCACGATTTTTTTTTCTCTATAGTTTAGGTTCTAATTTAAAATTTTTTCTATTATGATTATAATTATGTCTGAATGTATAAGAACATCATGTTATAAAATGTCTGCATATCTGAAGTTTTGAGTTATCGTGTAGTGGATTTCTAGTTTTATTTGCTTTGTGACAAGTGGTTGTGGCCCATATATCCATTCTTTTGGTATTTTCTGAAATTTACTTTCAATCCTAGTATTTTGTAAATTTTCATAAATGTTCTAAGTGCACTTAAAATTATATGTATTCTCTAATTATCGGATGTTCTATATTTGTCTTAGGTTCAAGCTTGTTAATTATGTTGTTAAAAATCTTGAAAATCCTTACCAATTTATTTTTCTTGGGCTTTCTGTCAGAAATATGTTAATGTCTTCTATTATGATTGTGAATTTGTCAGTTTCTCTGTGTAATTCTCTCAAAATTTGCCTTTTGTATCTTGAGTCTGCTGTGATTTGTATACAAATCATTGTTAGTTTCTTCCTGGGGAGGCTGTTGTTCTTCCATCACAGAAGAGACAGACAAGCTCTCTTACTTCTCCTAGTGAGTTATCCTTTCATTGAGGGTGAAGCTTTTCAAAAGTGTCAGCTTTATATGAATCTCAGTTCCAATAGCTTGAGATCTGCCTACTCAAGGACTTGAAACCATCACTAAACACGTATTTAGTGCTCATTGTTAATTCCTTCCTTTTCTGGTAACTTGGGAAGTTCACTTTCTTTTTTGAGTTGAAATATGCATTAAAAAGATTACATTTTATATTTTAACCAGCTTTCCCAGCTGTTTCTAAGTGGGATAGTTTTTCAGTTATCTGTTTTTTTTTTTGTTTTTGTTTTTTCCAATTGTTTCAACTGGAAATTTCTTTGTTGAATAGTTTATTTTGTATTCTTTCTGTTTATTTCCTTTTGTTAACATTTCCTATTCACATTTTTTTTTTCTAGCTGTCAGCTTAGGGACTCTGTATTCATTTTTATCTGATACAAAAAGAAAATAGTTATGTTTATTGTGAGAAAATAGTTATGTTTATCTTTTTGGCATTTTTGAGCAATTTGATTAAAATAGTACTGCGTAGAAAAATATGACCAAAAATTAGTATCTATAAATCACTATTTAAACGATAGTTTAATTTTGAATCTATCATCTAATTTTTGTTTTGCTTTGTTTTTACAGTTTAAAACAGAGTGGAAAGTTCCCTGGAAATCCCTGGCCTCCCTATAAGAAAAGGACACCACTCCATCCCAGCTATAAAGGTCTCATGAGACTTTTGCACTGTAAAACTTTACACATTGTGCTATTCACTCTGCTTTACAAGGTACAGTAGTAATTTGAATAGAAAGACTCAGATTAGAATTTATTTCCATAATTTTCAAATAAAAGTGTTAACATAATATTTGCATAAAAGTAGCACTCATAAAGCAAAGCGTATTTATACGTTAAAGATGTATGAAGATATGTCATAATCGCGTATATGTGAATTTTAAGTTGAAAAGGGAATAGATACACCATTCTTTGTGGGAAACTATTTCATGTTACCCCATTTCAGATAGGAATATTTATTTATGGCTCCTGTAGAACAAAAGGTAAAATACTATAAAACGACAGGAGGGTGAAATAAACAATAGGTACCAACCGACTACCAGAATCCATTAAAATGACAAAACTAAGCGATGAGGGCCAGTGACCCTGTGTTTAGGATTGTTTTCTTGGCTTTTTCCCTCTGATTAGGAATGCAACATGGAGGAATTTGAATGGTTTTATGTGTGGCAGCATTAAGAATTTGCTTTGGTAAATACCTTCTAAACTAAAAAGATACTTTTGCTCTCTTGTTACCTAGAATTTGTTTTATTCTTGGGTTTTCTTGTATAGAAGAGATTTATTTATATATTTGGCTAACATTAGCTATGTACTCAGAAACTGTATACATAATATTGTGCAGTAGGTGTATATATATAACAGGCATATTTATGATCTGTTACGTATTAGAGATAAAAGATGGAAGAACTGTATACTTGTGTATAGGTAAAATAACTATAGATATCAATGAAGTAACTATACATGTGATAAACATAATTAGGTACAAAGAAAACCTTTTGTTTCTTATTCCTAATTAGAATTTGAAAAATTAAAAGAGGTTTTTAGAAAGCATATTTTTATTCAGATTTCCAGTTGCTATATACACATTTTTTAATTACTTTAAGAAATAATTAGTGCATTTAGTTAAGTACACATTTGGTTTTAATGTTTGCTTTGTAGTGAAAGAATACTTTTAGATTTCTGTACCCCCCCCATTCATTCAACTCTACCCCTTGACCACTTTTTCATCTTACTTATTAAGTTACTTCTGTTAAGATTTTAGACGTGACTCAAAAAAACGTCTTTAAATTGTTTATTTTCATTAATTTCTGAGAGGATTATTCAGTAAAATGATTTAAAATGTTCTTTTCTTCATCAAAAATGGTAGATTTTTATTAGATACTTGTATTTACAGACATTTTTTGGATGCTTACCTATACCAGATTTTGTTTCAAATGACTTATATATATTTACTTTGTTTAATTTTAACAACAATTCTTATGAGTGAAAGTTTTGTTATTCTTATTTTTTAGAAATAATTATTGAGTTTTAGAGGTTAAATAATTAGATGCTGAAGCTGAGTACTGTGATATCAGTTAATAAGTAATAGGTCAGTAAGTCATGTTTTAAAAATTAAAGGAGCGGGGCACCTGGGTGACTCAGTTGGTTAAGTCTCCGACTTCGGCTCAGATCATGATCTCACAGTTCGTGAGTTCGAGTCCCATGTCAGGCTCTGTGCTGACAGCTCAGAGCCTGGAGCCTGCTTTGGATTCTGTGTTTCCCTCTCTCTCTGCCCGTCCCCTACTCGGACTCAGTCTCTCTCTCTCTCTCTCTCTCTCTTTCTGAAAAGTAAATAAACGTTAAAAAATTAAAAAAAAATAAAAGGAGCCTTACTGCAAATGATTTGTGTTCTTTCAAGTTATATTTTTCAGTCTTTTCATTTGCTTAATGTACAAATAGAGCTTTCTCAAAAATAGAAGGCAGTGTTTCAGTTGTTACAAGATTATGAACAGTTTTTTTTTAAATCTCAACTTTGTAATAGCTGTTCTGACTTTAATAATAATAGAAAAAACTCTAATTGACGTTGCATTGGCAAATCAACTTTCTAAACATCAGTATCAATGAGCCATCTCATCACCTGCCATGTTTAATGTTAAAAAACATTAATATAGAACATGTTAAGAAAACTTCTCAGAAAATCATTCTTAGAAAGTCATTTTTTTCCTTACCTTTTAGGTTACTCATTTGAAACTGTGAGATGTAATGTCGTAGGATTTCAGCCAAAATTTATTTGAATTTAATTAGTAATGTTTTATTTATCAAGAGGAGGCAGTGTAGTAACGACAGGCAATAGTTGAGGTCTGAAATCTGTTTGGTGTTGCTTATACTAGCTGGGTGTGTGGCTGAGCCTTGGTTTCAGGGATTACAAAGGATGACGTCCGGGGCCTCCCAGCCTTCCGTCCTCTCCTCCTGCTGCTCCTCCCACCATGTGCACCACCTGCCTACTGTTTGTTGAACACCAACTGATACATGCTGTACCACACAAATTACAGTTGTTAACTTGTGGGATCCTCACAACAATTCTGGTCTGTTGTTCCAGGTTAAAGATGAGAAAACTAAGGCCAGAATCTGTGGCTCAAGGTCAAATAGCTAGGTATATACAGAATTTGTATAATACAGGTTTTTTAAAAAAAGGTCCTTACCACCGTGCCACACAAAAGGTGACCAGAAAAGTCTTCTCAGTAGTCAAAATAAACATTAGAAAGGCAATGAACTGAAAATCTTTTTATTTTTCAGTCAGAATAAATTAGCTCTTAGGTGATTAAGTCCTTTTTTTAAGCCTGCTCAGCCTTTGGGGCAGTTTCTATGAGGCCCATCCTAGAATGTTCTCTTTTGTGCTCTCTGTAATCTCACCTGCTGCTGACAAGGCCACCCCCAAACAACCTCTTTCTCTTACCCTCCTGTCATTTGGCTAGATGGCTTTCTTATAATGAGGAAGACATGATGACTGCCAGGCCACTTTTTTCTTAGGTATTTTAGGTATCTTAGATTAGTAGTTTGTTGCATCATGTTGAATGAGTGATGTGAGTTAGCCCTGAAATCCTGCATAAGATGTGTAAAACTTGCAGTGTATAATCCACATAAGGGCAGATTTATTGGTAATTTCTCAGAGAAGCCTCTTTTTCAACTAGCTGCATCCCTTTTTGCTTTCTCACCCATATAAACCAAAGACTAACACATACATTTACTCAACCTCAAAAAATACTCAGGCTGAGAACTTTAATTTTAGAGATATTTTAAGAACATTAATATTCTGTAAACACTTATTGTCCTCCCAATTATATGCCAGGTGCTATGCTAAACACATTTGCATGAATAATCCTATTTAGTACACTTATTTATCTGGTATTTTTGTCATCAGGAAAAGAGTATCAGCAAATGAGGATGCGAAACATTCTTGTTAAGTTATTTCATAGATACGGTATATTTGTAATAATGGATTTAATGGACTACTTATTGTGTTACCTTTAGGAATCAGTGAACCAGTATTCCTAGATACTGCTTAAAAGACTGTGTGATCTTGAAAAGGAACCTGTTGTTTCAGTTTTAGTTTGTCTTTTCACCAAGATACAGTTTTACTTTATTTCTGATCATGTGGTATATTTATTTAAATATGTATATTATTACTTTTATCTATTACTTTTATCTATAATAATATTTTTAGATACTTAAATGAAATATATTTTGTGGAAAAAGTAATTACAAAGCATTTTTCCCCTTTTTAAAGATTTTGATGGATCATCAAAATCTGTCAGAACACGTACTCTGCATGGTTTTATATCTGATTGAATTAGGACTTGAAAATTCAGCTGAAGAGGAATCAGATGAAGAGGTAAGTAAGTTTCTTTTATTTTTAAATACTGAAGTTATGAAATGCCTTAACAAAGGTACTATGTTATCTTGAAATGTATTTATGGATTCATCATACTCATTAGCTATTCCTTAGAACTACTGGAAAAGGCCCTTTTTTCTTTTATTTTTTTTTTAAGTTTATTTATTTTGAGAGAGACAGAGACAGAATGAAGGGAGGGGTAGAGAGAGAGGGAGACAAAAGATCCCAGGAGGCCTGTATACTGCTGGCACAGAGCCCCACGTGGGACTCACAAACTGTGAGATCGTGCACGACCGTATCTGAAACCAAGAGTCGACGCTTAATCGACTGAGCCACCCAGGCACCTCAATTTTCAAATATATGTATGTTCTTTTAGAGGTATCACTGATACTTTAAACTCTACTTACGAAATTACTGAATTTGAAATTTGTAGTTCAGCATATATAGGTCTAAGAAAAGGGATTAATGCAATTTTGGAGTTACGCTAATAACATTGATTACTAGTAAATGTTATGTTAGGACTTCAGTCTAGAAATTCTAATCATTTGATTAGGGATTAATTTTGAGTGGCAAACTCTTCTGTAAAGGTTTTACGTTAATGAAGTAAATATTGTTATATGGGAAAATTTGTAAAGTACTTAAGAATACAAGTTACGGGGCACCCTGGGTGGCTCAGTCGGTTGAGCGTCTGACACTTGATTTCCACCCAGGTCATGATCCCAGGGTCTTGGAATTGAATCCTACATTGGGCTCCATGCCAAATGTGGAGCCTGTTTAGGATTCTCTCTCTCACTCCCTCTGCTCTGCACCCCCCACCCCTGCCCCAAAAAATAGATAAAAGGGAAAAAAATTGAAAAAAAAAAAAAAAAGGAAAAAAGAATACTGTACAGGTTGTTAGAGGTGCCTGGGTGGCTAAGTCAGTTGAGTATCTGACTCTTGACTTGATCTCAGCTCAGGTCTTGATTTCAGGGTTGTGAGTTCAAGCCTGGCATTTGGCTCCATGCTGGGCAAGGAGCCTACTTTAAAAAAAAAAAAAAAGAAAAAGAATACAAGTTGTTAATATGTTTCAGGACTTTAGAGGTATCACTTCAATAAAAGCAGTTATTACTACAAATTGATTTGCAAATTTAAGATTCCCTTCATCTCCTTTCTCCAAAAAGACAAAATACTGTGGAACATTGTAACAGCAAAAAACAAATAAAAAGACTAGGCAGTATGCTATTGTCTAAGATAAGTCAATGTATATTCTTTCATAGATAATAAAAGGTCATTGATATTTCTCTAAGGCCAGGTCAGACTTTTGGTTGATTTTTTTCGACTTTCTTTTACAATTAGTCCAAATCAGTATTATTTGACTGTATTATGAGTCATTATTAATGGGTACTGAAAAATACTCTGTATTGTTAAGTACTTCCAGATTGAAAAGTGTATTTTTTTTTTCCATGAGAAAGTTAGCTGACTTCAATTGGACTTACCTATAAGAAATTTATTCTTGTATTTTATGTTTGAATTTGGGTTTATTGGCACTTGATAATTTGAAGATGAGACTGTAAAGGATGCAGAGATAAGACAGGCAGTGGGTGATTATTTGGGCTAGTTCATCTCCATTGTACCTTAGACCTGACTTTTGCAAGGTTTCACGTTCATTATGTTCATGTTTTAGGCATCAGTGTGTGGACCAGAACGTTGTCATGACAGTTGGTTTCCTGGCAGTAACTTAGTGTCAAACATGCGACACTTTATAAACTATGTTAGGGTGAGAGTTCCAGAGACTGCTCCTGAAGTGAAGAGGGACTCACCTGCAAGTACCAGCTCTGACAGCCTGAGTTCTTTGCATGTAAGTGTAGAAAAGGGAAAAAGAAAAAGAAAAGACTACATTTTATGTCGGGGTATATTGTTTAGATCATCCTGTGATATTCAGAAGAAAAATGTGGTTGTAGGTAACTTTAAATTGTCTTTTGTTTCCTCTGATATATCTAAGCAACTTCTGCTTCACCCATCTTTTCCCTTTAATCTGCCAGAGTTCACGAAGGCCTAAAGTTCTTCAGAGAGAGGTAGATATATATGATACTTGCATTAACTAGCAATATGGCTTTAACTGGAAATCGGAAAACACTTTGAAGTATTTGTGTGTATATGTGTGTGTTTAATATGGTTACATTTTTTTAAAAGTTTAACATGTGTGTGTTTTTATATGGTGACTTAGGCTTAAAGAAAATTCACACACTGAAGTTAAAAAATAATACTGAGTATTTATTCGTGGGTTTTTCTTAGTATTTTGGACCAGTTATAAGCACGTTTGGGTTTGTTTGCATTTCTCATTGTTACTAATATCTTAAAAATGAATGTTTCCTAAATCAAAATAAATTTAATCTTTAATTGCTGGCAGCATGCCTATTTACAGATTTTTTTGCTTCTGTGGCAATTAATTAACTTTGATAAAATAAGCCCACAAAAATCTTAGTACAGTGTGCATTTGGATTCATTTTGAAAATCAGCTCTTTCATTGCATGTAGCTTTTAATTAACTAATTTTTAAAAGGCAGAAATGAAAAATTCTTGAAATGACCTGCCAAGTAACTGAATTTAAATACCTCTTATTCTTATAATGTATTTTTTTGTGGATAGAGAGCACTGAATCAGATGTTTCTCTTAGCAGAGTCCATGGATAGGAACTTTCTTTGCCTTTGACAATATGTTTTTGCTGTGAACACCATAAAGAATTTTGATTAAATTGGAATCTTAATCAGAGGCAGCTTTTACCTCTAATGATGGTAGAGAGTACTTTGAAAAACAATTTGGATGTTAAAAAACAGCATATACTATAATTTAGCTCATAAAAGCTCTGTTGATATTGGAGCATCCTTTCTATGCTTGCTTAAAAAAATTAAATCCATTAAACTGACTTGTATCTTAATTAAAAGATGATTTCTAAGAGCTCCGATGCAGTTTGACTGTTTTAACAAAAAGGCTTTTTAGAAGAAAAATTATTGAGGGAAATATTTTAAAAATCCTTTCAAATAAATTATAGTGATATTCAAATATGAAACAGACCAGTTTGATTTTTCATCGTTATATTTTATTTTAGTAACTAAGCATTTATTAGAAGTAATTTTTCAACTTTGAAGTTCTTTAAAAATGAAATTAATTAGTAGTTCAGATTCATCAACTTAGGAAAAATTAGTTTATAATTTACTTAACTAGAAAATGTATCAGTCTTGTAGCAGTTAGTAAAGACATATTTTTTTTTTAATAGAAGCATAGTTAACACACAATGTTATTTTAGAAGTATAGTATTCTTGATAAATGTTGGGTGGAACATCTTTTATTCCTATAAACTGGTGAGGAACTTCATGTATGATTTCTCCTTAACATGGCTATAGATACTTCTCAAGCTTTGTCTCTTTTCCCTGGTAGATTGGCCTAGGAGGTTGAGAAAGAGGTGTTACTGTGGATAACCTCCTTTTTCCCCAAAATTGTTTCCAGATTGAGTGAGACTAAATATATTTGATTAAGAGAGGTAAAGGGACAGATTTACTTAAAGAGTAAATCTATTGGCTGAATCTTTGGATGGAACGTTGAACATTCCCTTTGGAAAATGTTATACTAATATGTTCTTACACTTGACATTGAATAACTTCTCTTGATTTTTCTTTCTCTTTTTTAATGGTAGAATTCTGGTACAGCTCAAGTTTTCAGCTTAGTAGCAGAGCGTAGGAAGAAGTTTCAGGAGATCATCAATCGCAGTAGCAGTGAAGCAAATCAGGTGGTTCGTCCCAAAACTTCAAATAAGTGGTCTGCTCCTGGTTCAGCTCCACAGTTAACTACAGCCATTTTGGAAATTAAAGAAAGCATATTGTCTTTGCTAATTAAACTTCATCACAAACTCTCAGGAAAACAAAACTCCTACTATCCTCCTTGGCTTGATGACATAGAAGTTTTAATCCAACCAGAAATTCCTAAATATAATCATGGAGATGGTATAACTGCAGTGGAAAGAATTTTACTAAAAGCTGCATTGCAAAGCAGAATGAACAAACGCATCATTGAAGAGATATGTAGAAAAGTGACCCCTCCTGTACCCCCCAAAAAAATCACTGCAGCAGAGAAGAAAACATTGGACAAAGAAGAAAGGTAATTTTTATTTTTAATATTTTAAACATGTATGGTTCAGTTGAAGATTTGGTGGATCCCCCTTTTTTGGCCATCTGAGGCTAATCATCTGGATGTTTAGCAGCTATAATCATAGTTGATTAGTTTGTAAGATAAAGAGAACCAAACATAGTCAGTGCTTGGGCATGTGTAATGCTTGAGTTAGTTTGGGGTAAGAAGACAAGAGTTTATGACCCCAACATTAAATTACTCCCCTAAACTTGTGAGATCCCTTTGGAAAAATTGCTACTTCAGTTATTGCTGTGGGTTATCTAATGATTCTGCTGCTGTTTTCAAATACTATTATTAATTCAACTTTAAATGAAAATAGAAAAATTTTAAAAAATATTTTAAATATTTCTCAAAAATTTGGTTGTTTTAGGGTTTTTTTTCCTTTTTGGTCTTTTCCAATCTTTCCAGTATATAATTACTAATTATTAAACAAGTAATGTTTTATTTATTTTTTTAAAGTATATTTATTTTGAGAAACAGAGAGAGAGAAAGCAGGGGAGAGGCAATGAGAGAGGCAGAGAGAGAATCCCAAACAGGTTCTGCTCTGTCAGCACTTAGCCTGACGTGGGGCTTGATCGCACAAATTATGAGATCATAACCTGAGCTGAAACCAAGAGTCAGACACGTAGCCAACTGAGCCCCCCAGGCACCCCAACAAGTAATGTTTTAAAACATGGCTGTAGTGGGGCGTCTGGGTGGCTCAGTTGGTTAAGCGTCCGACTTCAGCTCAGGTCATGATCTCATGGTTTGTGAGTTCGAGCCCTGCATCAGGCTGTGTGCTGACAGCTCGGAGCCTGGAGCCTGCTTCAGATTGTGTGTCTCCTTCTCTCTCTGCCCCTCCTGACTTGCACTTTGTCTCTCTGTGTCTCTCAAAAAATAAATAAATGTAAAAAAATAAATAAAAAATAAAACATAGCTGTAGTTTTGGGAAATTTGGGTTGCTTTTTTTAAATTAAAAAAAATTTTTTTAAGCAAACTTTACCACCAACATGAGGCTTAAACTCATGACCCCCATATCAGGAGTCACATGCTCTAATGACTGAACCAGCCAGGTGCCCCTGTTAAATCATAATATTTATAAATTACAAAAAATCTTTCTTGGATGATGTTCCTCTTTACCAAGATAGGGGAGGATAACAGACCAAGATAAGGAGAGGCTTAGGCTTAGCAGTAAAGTTGATATGCTCTGCTTTGTACATTACTGAGCTTAAAGAGCATACCCAATTGGAGATGTCCAATCAGATAAAGCGTTTGAGACTTAGGGGAGAATTCAGAGTTAGAGCTATAGATGGGGTCATACAGGTAGTAGTTAAAGGCTTATATATAGAAAAGTGTGTGCAGTAAGAAATGAGATACTTAATACTGAACTTTTATAAAATAAGGAAAAAACATTAAACGAATTACCTATAAAGGTGGCTTAAAAGGGATGACCAGAGTGGAAGAGGAGGAACACTGTAGAGAGTGGCATTCAAGAGGGTTCAGAAAGGAAGAAACAAGATTGTGCTACAAAAGTTCAGATAAGATTGGCAGTTTCCTTTGATTCAGTAGTTAGGTGGTTATCCTTTCTAACTGTGTCAGAAGCAATTTTAATCACATATATAGTTGTACTTCATTTCTGATATAATTAAAGTTGTAGATAATTTATATTAAAAGTATAAAGTATATAAATAAATATGTGTCCACATTTCTCACAAGGCAGCACATACACTAAAATTGGAACGATACAGAGATTAGCATGGCCCCTGCGCAAGCATGACATGCAAATTCGTGAAGCATTCCATATTTTTAATTATATATGAAAAAAACTTTTTACTCTTCTATTGCATGAAAAAGAGCTCAAGACAAAAATTCAAACAGTTACTAAAAGCACTCACCAATCAACTAACTTCATTGGACTTTATTGGATAGCTTTATTTTGTTACACATTTCATTGTTGTTAATTTAGAAGACATGGTCTAAAAAAAAAAAAAATCAAACCCATGTATAATTCTATCCCTCAGTGAAAACCAATGTTAATAAGAGTATGTACAATCATCCAGTATAAATGCAATAATAATGGCTTTTCTATGTGTATTTATCATACTGCATTTTAATTTTTAAACAATTGTTATTGTAACAGTAGAGGTGAGATTCTCCATGTTGAGGAATCTTTCTTGTATTTTTGAATCTGTTATATCCAGTACCATATCTGGAACACAGTGCTAAGTATATATTTGATGACTAAATACATGAAAAAAGAAAAATATATATATATACAAAAGCTTTTAGTAGGAGAATGTAGGAGAGTTTTATTTCTTACAGTAGTTCATAAATAGGAATCATTATAAATAACTAACCTATAATTTGCATGACAATTTATTAATTTTGAATTAGTAACTGCCTAAGATTTAAGAGATCTATTGATAAAGTTGAAAGCGAGGTAAAATTTTTTATGTTTGTTAACCTTTTAAATTGGTGATATTTCCTTGATTATAGAATAATGTCATTTTTTAAAAAGAAGGTAAACATTCAGTGAATCAAAGTTTATTTTATTTGGTTAAAGGTATTTTGTAATTATTACTCAAAATGCATATGATACTGGAGTAGTTCAGATGCTATTTTTACAAAGGCTCTAATGCTATTGTAATAAATAGTACTCTTGAAAAATTGTAAAGGTTTTCTTCATAATAGGCTTTGTTTCCTTTGAGCAGTGGTGGTGATGGTATTGACAAGGACTTGAAACTAATTCTGTAGCAGACAGCTAAGGATTAAGATAAATTTATTTGAATCTCACTATGCTTCTCACATTATCTTTTCTTAATTTATTTTGGATTTTAGATTAAGTTTCATAATAAAGGCCAGTTTATAAACAGTGGTGGTCCATTTCCAACTACCTCACCCATAGACAAACGTGGCATCACTTTTCATTAGAGTTATTGCATAGAAAACGATACAAATAGGAAACCTTTAGATGGTTATAACAGTGTGCAGCCTCAATGTTTCTACCTCTGGGATAATAGTGGAAAATTCCTGAGTTGTACTAAATCTGCTACACTTGTCTGCCTTTTCATTTTTACTCATATTTATGCCCAATTTTAGACAAAAAAATTACCTAAATTAAGAAAAAATTTATAAGGGAAAAAGAATTGACATTCTTTTTCTGGAAATCATAGAAAGCCAGTAGAGATTTTGTTTTTTTTAAGCAACTTAAGACAACATCCATTTATTTACATAGTGTTTCTGTATGTCGAAGTGTAGGCATGATGTGACTGGGTTCTTTGCGAGAGTCTCTTGAAGCTAATGTCAAGGTGACAGCCATAATTATCTGGGGCTTATAGTTTTCCAGGCTCATGTGGATGCGGGAGAGTAGACATGCATTTTAATACTAGTACCAAGCAGTTATTTGAAGTTTCCTTAATGTTTGATATATGATTTGTTATTTGAAATACTCTTTTATGGATATACTCTAAATGTTCATGTAAAGGTGATTTATAGAGTGGCATAACTGATTGTGTTAATTAAAGAAACATGTAACTTACAAATTTTATATGGAAATTTTATAAAGTAGTGATGTAGGAAACCAAACGTATTATATCCATTCTCTTGTTGCTTATAGTATTTTTATAATAATAAATTTCATAAAGTAGTGATGTAGGAGATTAAACATGTATTCTATGCATGCTGTTGTTGCTTATAGTATTTTTGAAGGTTTCACACAATGCTTTGAGCATCTGTAGAGCATTTTTGTTTGTTTCCATTTCTTCTATGGTGGCAAATTTTTGTCCTTTGAGAATGGATTTTATTTTTCATTTTGAAGAAATGTCAAATTTATTGAAAAGTTTCAAGGACAGTACAGAGAACTTCTTAGACCATTTCAGAGTAAGTTGCTTTACCCTGGAATATTTTAGTTTGTATTTCCTAGAAATAAGGACATTTTTTTTTATATAATCACAATATAGTTTTCAAAATAAGGAAATTAACATTTTATTTGAGTATGATAAAATCCTTAGATCCCAAGTTTTGGTAGTTGTCTCAATACTGTTTTTTTTTTTTTTTCTTTTAAGCTTTGATTATCCATATTTGAGAGAGAGAGGGAGACAGAGCGTGAGCAGGGGAGGGGCAGAGAGAGAGAGAGAGAGAGGAAGACACAGAATCCGAAGCAGGCTCCAGGCTCCAAGCTGTCAGCACAAAGCCTGACATGGGGCTCGATCCCACGAACTGTGGGATCATGACCTGAGCCAAAGTCAGACGCTTAACCAACTGAGCCACCCAGGCGCCCCTCAATACTGTTTCTTACAACAAAAAAATCCAGTACAGAATTGTTCCTTGCATTTGGTTGTCACGTCTCTTTGGTGTCCTTCAATATGGATTTTCTTTAGTTTTTCCTTTATTTTCTTGATCTTGTCACTTTTGAAGAATATAGGGTAGTAACATTGTAGAATGTCCCTCAATTTGGGCTTCTCTACTGGCCCCTTATGTTTAGATTCAGATTATGCATTGCTGGCAGGAGTATCAAGGAAGCATTGCTATGTTCTTTTGATTGTATTCCATCAGGTGTCCTATGATCTCAGTTTGTTTCATTTGGTGATTAATTTTGATCACTTGATTAAAGGGGTTTCAGCCAGACTTCTTCACTGTTAAGTATCCCCCTTTCCCCCCTTTGTGATTAATATGTAATTTATGGAGAGATATTTTGAGATGCTGTAATATCTTCTTTCTCACAAACTTTCAATTTATTCATTTTTTTATTTCTATCAGTTTGGGCTTACAGATTCTGATTTTATGGGTTGCAACCTCATGCTTGCTCTTCATTTTGATGCTCAAATTGTTTTAGATTTGACCTGTGGGACTCCCTTCCGGCTGGTTTCTGTATTCTTTTGATGTTTCCCTATCATTCTTTGAACATTTTCTTTTTTTCTGGGGCCAGAAGATAGTCCAGGTTCCTTTTGTATTTGGAACTAGCCATTTCTCCAAGGAGTTCTGATGGCTTTTTTTTTTTTTTTTTTTTTTTTAGAAACCACAATCAATGTGCTCATTCTAGGGGATATAGCTATTTTCAGTCACTCTTAGTGGACAGAACTAGGAAAAGTTTGTGTGTGGGTGTGGGTATGTGAGAGAGTGGGAGGGAGAGGGGAAGGAGTTGGAGGGAATAGGGAGAGAAAGTTATTAAAAACTGTGAGTGGGGTGCCCGGATGCTCAGTAGGTTAAACGTCCGACTTTGGCTCAGGTCATGATCTGTTCGTTGGTGAGTCCGAGCCCCACATCGGGCTCTGTGCTGACAGCTCAGAGCTTGGAGCCTGCTTTGGATTCAGCGTCTCCCTCTCTCTCTGCCCCTGCCCCTGCCCCTGCCCCACTCACTCGCACTTTCTTGTTCTCTCTCTCTCAAAAATAAATGAACGTTAAAAAGTTTTTTTAAAGTAATTATTAGAAAAGCAGTGTTAAAATCTTTTGAACGTTATTGGCAAAAGTATGTAACTTCTCATGGTAAGGCTTGACAGTACTTGACTCTATGCCTGTTCATGATAATCTCCACTAATTGGATGGGAGTGGATATGTGAATGAAAAATCTAAAATTACTGTTAGCATTTTTTAATCCAAGATTCTCTATCTTTGACTCATTGAGATTAATGAAAATTCTTTTTTAGGTTTCCCACAGAAATGACTTTATAGAATCTCAGCTTAATACTATGCTTTGACTTTTATAGTATATCTGTATAATAAATAGTCATTAAATGACTGCTATAATATGCTCTATCCATTATGGTTTTTTAGACTTTTTTTTTTTTACTTTTAATTTTCTGAAAGTTTTTATTTAAATTCTAGTTAGTTAACATACAGTGTAATGGTAGTTTCAGGATATCCTTTATGTTTTAATGGATATGTTTTAATGTTTTTAACATCACAGGCTATGGTAAATTTCTTCTTGAGTTTTGTTTCAGTAAAAAGTTTTCTTTCTTTTGATGAGCTAATATACAGCTTACATTGTAACTTTTTTTTTTTCTTCCTTGCCTTTTGTTTTAGATTACTATTTTAACCTTTCTTTGCTCGGGATAAAATTTTTATGCTCGCTAGTATTGTTGGCATCCTCAAATCTAGGGAAGCCTCTGTTTCCTTTCTTTATTAGTTCACCTTTATTTTCTTATTCTTATGTTATAGTCCTGTTGTGTTGTATTTGTGTGTGTAGTTTTTATTTTTTTCTTTTATTTTTTTCTTTTTCCCAACCAGCCTCAAGTTAAAATACTCTTTGGAAGTAGATAAAGGATAAATAATAAATAGAATTTGATGAATTAATCCAAAAGAATATTTATGCTTAGATTTGAAATACAGTTTATTTTTTATGTTGTATTTGAGACTTCTGTATTTTTCCTTGAAACAAAATAAACTAAACTTGGAATATTTCCTAGTAGAAACTGGGAAATTTATTGGCTTCTGCTCATTCTCTTTTAGGAGAGTCCAATTCTTAATATAATAGTAAATCTGACTATTTTTTATCTTTTAGATTCTGTTTATATCTAAACATCATAGCTTCTAGCAACCAGTTTGCTGTTATTTGTGCCTGGGGTTAAATTGTGAGTTCCTTGATGAAAAAACTTTTCTTACTCTTGCTGCCAATTGACATGACATACTTAGGAAATTGTTAGAAACCCAGATTTTCTATCTACTTTAATTATTTCACATTTTAAAATAAATCTTGGCTTTTATTTTTGTCTGTTTAAGCCAGTGATCTTCAAACCATGTTGAAGCAGTGGAATCTAAGGACAGTCAAATCTTACATAAAATTTAATACACAGTTCAGAAAATAGTTGTGTGCCAGGGGCTTTTCATACAATATACACTTCTGAAATGTAGTAGGTAAGTCTTAAACACATCTGATACTTACCACTTTGTTCTGTTTAATCTAGGCGACAAAAGGCTAGAGAGAGGCAGCAGAAATTGCTTGCAGAGTTTGCTTCACGACAGAAAAGCTTCATGGAAACTGCAATGGATGTTGGTAAGCTAAAATTTATTAGTTTAGAACTCTTATAATTATACTTATTACCTCAGGGATTATCTAGTTCAATCTTCACCAGTTTTCAACATTGTAAACAGATGATTTCTGGTCTTTATTTAAACAGTAGAGCGATGGAGGATCAGACTGTTATTGCGGGCAGTTTATTCCGTGTGGAGTAGTCGTAATTATTAGAAAGTTCTTCCTGATGGTAGCAATAAAATATCCTCTGCTACTTTCTTCTGCTAGATTGTCCTTTAGATCTGTGTGGTACACCAATATGTATTTACTTGTTCTGATTTTTCCTGTGAAATTATCCTGAGGTTTTAAAAATAGCTTTCAAATACTTTTAGTGCCTCCTCCTTCTGCTACCCCTTCAATATTTCTTAAAATCAGGTGTACTTCTCACTTCTGTTAGGATAAGCATTGGTGTATGTACCGTGAGAGGGGATGCCGTTTTCCTGTATAATAGTAGATTGCTATGAGTAATTTTTTACAAACATTGCAAAAGAATAGATTAAATTTCAGTTAATCTCAGTCTTCAGTCAACCAGGATACTCCCTTTCTTGACGATCTCTTGCATTCCAGTGGTTTTTATTTTTTCTTTTAGAACAGAGATGCTGAAATAAAGTCATACACATAATTAAAATATATACACATATATGCATTCAAACACCCATGTACATTCTCATGCACTTTTGTGCACATAAGCACACAGGGTCAACATCCAGAAGACGTGTGTGTGGGGGTGTTAGTCCAGATATAGTATAATGTCTTCTGAACCGTCAACAGTGGAGTTTATGTTCAGGACTTAATTTTGATGTGAAGAATACTGTTTATCAGATTTAGTATCAGTTGACTTTCTCATTTGAAAGATGAGGATTTAGTTCATTGACATTACTTTCCCTTTCTTCATCTCTTTTTCTTTACCTTTTTCCAAAAATTCATAATTAATATTTTGTTTTTTACATATCAAATATAATTACCATGTGTATTAATTGTTCTTCCTATAGCCACTGTCTTCATACCCCTTCATATAAAGTAAACTTATAGCACCCCTATTTTTCCTTTTATTTTTCCTTTCCACATTTCTACCTCTGTCTTTATCAGTTAGTTACTTATTTACTTTTAAATTGTCAGGGTTGCTTACATTTTCTTCTGTAGTTACAATCAAGTGTTCCATCCAAAGATTGACTTTAAATGTTGAAAAATAATTAATATGACTTTTTGAATGTTGTTGAGTACAGGGCTAAGTAGTGTTCTAAGATTCATTTACTTTATTATTTTTTTTTCAGTCCAGTGGCCTGACTCCTAGACTACTTTAAGGAGATTGTGTATAGCCCCATTTCTTACAGTTTCTCAATTGCTAAAACCGTACCACCCTTTACATACCTCTGCTTGGGCCATTACTTTGTTATATTATTTTTTGTTTTTCCTGAAGTTTTCAACTGTTGTTTTTTCTTAACTCACGTGCCCTTATGATATCTCTGTTGTTCTACTTAGTCGTACTGTCCTTTGCATGTAATTCTGTTCCAGTCTGGTCCATTTGCTCTGGAGGTATGCTGTACAGCCATTACCTTTGGATTTTCCTCTTGTAGAGTTGATCTGGGGTTTCCTGCATCTTATATCATCTCTCTTTTTTGGGTCTTGTTTTACTGGAGTTCAGCCATAAGTGTATTCCTAATAATGCTTATATGGGGTCTGAAATTTCTGAACTTTGTGTTTCTGGATGGAACTCTGTTTGCTCTCATGCTTGATATTTCATTTGGATAACTGTATAATTCCAGGTTGAAATATATTCTCTGTTACAAATGTTAAAGCAATACTCCTTTGTCTTTTACTATTCATTTGATGAGAAGTCTGGTGGTAGTCCTTTGTAGGTGAACTTTTTTTTCCCTTTTCCGTAACTTTTTAATTGATCCTTAGAGATTTGGATTTTTTAAAAAAGATTGTAACATGTTTTTTTGTTTCATTTTGATTTGTTTTGTGTTGTTTTGTTTTGTTTTTAATTTTAAGGAGGCTCCATGCCCAACGTGGGGCTTGAACTCATGACCCTGGGATCGAGAGTCTCATGCTCTGCCGATTTAACTAGCCAGGCACCTCAAGAGATCTGAAATTTTATGATTTGTATCTAGGTGGATCTTTCTCCTTTTCCTTAGTCCTTAGTGGGCCTTTTCAGTCTGAAGATTCATATCTGTGAAGCTCTGAGAAAAAACTTTCCTATGATTTCTCTGATGACTAGCCATTCTCCGAGATGACCCTCAAGGATCCATGCCTTCCTTTTTATTTTTAATTTTTTAAAATATTTATTTTTGAGAGAGAAAGAGACAGAGTGCAAGTAGGGGAGGGGCAGTGAGAGAGGGAGACACAGAATCTGAAGCAGGCTCCAGGCCCTGAGCTGTCAGCACAGAGCCTGACGCAGGGTTCGAACTCACAAGCTGTGAGATCATGACCTGAGCTGAAGTCGGATGTTCAACCAGTTGAGCCACCTCAGCACCCCTATGATCCGTGTCTTCTGGTTATTTATGCCCTGTGTAGTCTTCTTTCACATTCCACCAGAACTGGTGTGCATGGCCACTGGCATATGGCAGAAGTAATACTGTGTCATTTCTGACATTAGGTTATAAAAAACACTGCAGCTTCTGTCTTGTTTTCTCTCTTTCTTGGATTACTTATTCTGGAAGAAAACCAGCTGCCATGTTGTGACCAGCGCTATGGAGAGGACTGTCTGGAGAGAGACTGAGGCATCTGGCCAACAATTATGTTAGTGAGCTTGGATGTGAAACTTCAACCTCCAGTTAAGCCTTCGGATAGATTTTTAGTTTGACAGCAGTCTCATAAGAGATCCAGAACCAGAACCATTCAGCTAAGCTGCTCCCAGATTCCTGACCCTCAGTAACTGTGTGAGATAACAAATGTTGGTTTAAGCCACTGAGTTTTGGGGTAATTTATTAAACAGCAGTGAAGAACTATTACATACTTTTCTCCTTATATTTTCTATTATTATTTTCTTAGAGACAGAGAGAGAGAGAGCAGGGGAGGGGCAGAAGAGAGGGAGAGAGAGAATCTTAAGCAGGCTCCATACCTAGCATAGAGCCCACCATGGAGCCCAACACAGAACCTAGCATGGAGCTTGATCTCATGATCGTGAGATTATGACCCGAGCTGAAATCAAGAGTCAGACACTTAACTGACTGAGCCACCCAGGCACTCCTATCCTAATATTTTCTTTGTACTCCTTTTGTGGGACTCTTATTAGTTGTATAAGTTGGATGTTGAAACTCCTAGATTGCTATTTTACTTAATCTTTTATATTTGTTACCTTTTATATGATGTGTTCTTTTTACTTTGCATGCTTAGAGATGTCCTTTCTTCAGTATCTTGTTCCTACTTGCCGTACAGAATTTTTTTCAAATCTTTCTGAATTTGTTAGAGTGCACATGTGCTTTCTCTCTCTCAATTATCTTTTATCCTTTTGAATTACTTTAAGCTATAATTTTTAAAGTTGGAGAGTGAATTTTTAAAGTTCATTGGAGAGGTAGCAAGGTGTAGTGGCTATGAATATGGACCCTGGAGCCTGACTGCCTAGGTTCATACCTCAGCCACTCTGTTGTCTGGAGCACTTTGCTTAACCTCTCTGTGTCAGTTTTCACGTAATGAAAAAGGGATTATTTTTTAAACAATTTTTTTTTAATGTTTTATTTATTTTTGAGACAGAGAGAGACAGAACATGAGCAGGGGAGGGTCAGAGAGAGAGGGAGACGCAGAATCGGAAGCAGGCTCCAGGCTCTGAGCTGTCAGCACAGACCCTGACGTGGGGCTTGAACTCACTAACTGTGAGATCATGACCTGAGCTGAAGTCGGACGCTTAACCGACTGAGCCACCCAGGCGCCCCCCCAAAGAAAGGGATTATTACACTACCTGCTTCATAAGATTGTTGTGAGGATTGAATGTACTAGTATATATATTTTTTAAATGTTTATTTACTTTGAGGGGAGGGAAGGGAAGAGAGCGAGGGAGAGAGAGAATCCCAGGCTATAAGCATGGAGCCCAATGCAGGGCTGGATCCCATGAACCCGTGAGATCATGACCTGAGCCAAAATCAAGAGTCAC